GCCCGGTGGCTTGGCGCAGTGGGTAAGTTCGTTGCCTCACATGCGAAAGGTTCGGAGTTCAAATCCCGGCCGGGTAGAATGGTGCGATCTAAGCATTTTAAAGTCTTCATCATCATCGCAGTATACCCTAACCGGGTCGAAGCGATGTAAAATAACGATAAAAAAAATCAAAAAAAAATTTTTTAAGTACTTGCGATTTTGGATAAACATCCTTAATGCTGATGAAATGATGTGGTTGCAGTATCCAGACTACACGTACGTCCCGGACATCACTATAGAGGCGGAAAACCCAAAAGTCTGCACTCAGGACCTCGACACCATCGACATACCCCGAGAGTACACGAAATTATTTAAACATCACTTCTACTCGATTAATTTATCGATGGTCCCTGAATGCATCAAGGCTTATGAAGTACTCGGAGTCAACCACGAGCCATTGACGCTAATCAGGCCACATTTCGAGACACCATTGCCACCCACGCAGCCCTCAGTAATCAGCTCTTTCGTTACTATGTTATTTCGGAAACTAAGTGCTGAAATTAGATGATCCAACTGGACGTTCTATACGATTCAGCTTCAGTCAGACTGTGTTTCGGTTTTTGCTTCACACTTGAAGAAATCGAAAAGAAACTTTTGGGAACTTTTTTTTACCTCTGAGTTTGGTCTCCACAAAAGTTCTTCTGGAGTTTCCTCACATTAAAGAAAGTTGGCAATAACTTTTACAAATGAGAAAATTTCATAGAAGAACCTAGCCCATTCGCTTGAAAATTCTATTGGTTTTATTCAATAGAAAGAATTCTGTAACGAAATCAACAGAATTTAATTTTTCTATATAACTCATTCTATTGGAATAATACATTCTCTGTTTTCTGTTTGATTTTTTTTACGGATATCCAAGTATCTTTTACAGTTTGGTACAGACCACACTATAGATTCAACCATTTTTAATAATTCAGTAGCGAAGTGGTAAAAGGGTACAAGTCAATTTTGACTATTGACCAGTTTTCAATGAATATCTCGGAATCTAAGGGAGATGGCAAAATATCTTTCAAAACCTTTTTTGTAGAACCGATTAAGAGCTACAACAAATGTAATTACGAAAATTTCGCCATCTCCCTTAGATTCGGGAATATTCCTCAAAAACTCAATAGGAGATAAGTCGACTTAAACCGTTTTACTACTTCACTAGTGAATTAAATTTGTTCACACGCACGAAAAAATTTAATAGAAAAACCTATCGAATTCGTTAGAAAATTCTATTGAATTTCTATTGAGTTTTCTATTAGTTTTTGGCTGATTCTATTGACATGTTCAATAGAAAACATTCAATAGAAAAAGTCAACAAAATTCGATTTTTCTATATAACTTATTCTTTTCATATATTTTTTATAGAATTTGCTCGACTCAAATTTTTCAAGTTTTTTTCATTCTCTTTTTCTTTTCTTCTCATCAATAAAATCGAACGAGCAAACTTAGAAAATTTGAGCCGAGGAAATTCTGTAGAAAATATCTCACTAGAATAAATTATAGAGAAAAATTGAATTCTATTGACTTTTTCTACTGAATATTTTCTATTGGACATTTCAATAGAAAACTAATACAAACAAAAGCTAATAGAACAGTTCAATAGAAATTCAATAGAATTTTCAAACGAATTGATAGGTTTTTCTATTAAAGTTTTTCGTCCGTGGATTAAAGCGCGTGAGAAAAATGTGAAAAAAATCATGAATATTCAGCGTCATTCAAGTTAGATTTTGCCCAGAATTATTTTTCTTTTCAAACATTCGTTGTTTATCAATAAATAATTGACATTGTTTAAATTTTCGGAAACCTCATTTTTTAAGCATGACTCGATTTTCTTTAAAATTCTGAATATGATTCAATTTATTACGATTCCGAACAAATGATTTATATGGTAGAAAATTGATTGTTTATAAATTATTTCATCAATCCTCCTCCAAAAATACACTTTCTAATTGTTTTCAAATTTTTTAATTTTTTCTAACGGTTCAATATCGAGACTCAAATTTCCACCTGCAAAGTGTAAATAATAAAATCATTGTAAAATGTCCGGAAACTTAGGGCCAAATGGGACTCGAATGAACGCTCTGATGTTCGACTACAAAAATAGAAAAGTATTTTACTGAAGAAAACATGGTCAAAGTACATGGATATCCTTAATTGAGAAGAATAATTAATTGGAAAATAAAAAAAAAATTATATCTAGAAATTTTTATACGGAATATCTCTATAGAATAAGTTCGATAGGCTAAATTCTGTTGATTTTTCTCATAACATAGTTTCTCTCACACAATTTCTATTGAGAAAAACGCACTAAAATTAACAATAGGGGAGCTTGGGGTAAAACGGACACTTTTGACTTTTTTAAAAATGTTAATGAGAGGTTGAAATGTTGATAAAATTCAATAATTTTTTTAAAATACAAAGAACAATTATTTCCCTTTGTAACTTGCCTAAACTGAGTTCAACTGATAAAGTTGTTTCTGAGTTATGAATAATTTTAAAAAAGTCTAGTGTCCATTTTACCCCACCCTCCCTTACTCATCGCTTTACCATTTTTTTGTTCCACTGAAAAAACAAACAAAAGTTTTCATAAGTGATGAGTTCATTCTCTTTCCAGGTATTCCCGCCAAGTTTCCAAGAGCTGCCTCCCCCAGCCCTGGAGCTCTTCGACCTCGACGAGGAATTCAGTTCCGACTTACTGAAACTATCGCAACTAACAAATAAATACATGTTATCGAAGGGTTCCTCGGACGAGTCTGAGCTCGACTACTACATTCGCGAGTTCGGCGAGATAATCCGAATAAATACCTCAACAATTCCCACCTCCAAAGAAGTGCTTAATCACGTATTCCAGAAATTAAGTAGCTACAAAGCAATGCATAATTGATTGAACGATTAATTATATTACTACCTAACTGTCGAGACCGCAGGGTTATTTATCAATAATTAACTCAGTAAACGTCGACGACCATCGATCACAGTTTGTTATTACTTTTGTACGTGGATCCTACATTAATTACAAGTAGAGGAAGAATATGTGTAAGAACAACGAGTCTTTACAGTCTCTATCATACACTTACATACATCACTAGTGCATACATCACTTTAATAAATTAATTAAATGATTCAATTTACAATATGTGAAGTACATTCAACATTTTTTGGATGACACTGGTAAGTTTTGTAATTCACCTTGCAGCGGCTAATTTTTTCCGATGAAATTGACATTTAGATGATCATTAAGAACATTAAATAAGGGAATTTATACAGCATTGCACATCTTTGTGACGTTATAGGAAATGATTGGATGGGATTTGGATGAGGTAGGAGGGGAACCAGGATTATTCTCAACATGAATAACCAGAAAATTTTTTACTGAAAAAATGGATAGTCCAGGCTGAGATTTGAACCTGGGGCTTTCCGATTATGCGTCGAGTGCAATAATCATCTAAATGTCAATTTCATCAATTGACATTTCTTAATTGACATTTAGGTGATTATTTAGATGATCGATGCTATAAAACTGTAGAATATCCTGAAATATTCTCGAATAGCACCTAGACGTGTATTCATGATGGAAGAGTCTCGTAGGTAAGCTCTCAAATCAATCAAGAAGATTTTATAATTTTTTAAGGGATTTCAGAATGGTTTGGGATATGCTAGAAATGAATGATTAAAGTTTGGAAAAATGGAGAGCTTTCTAGACTATTGCCGAATTCACGAGAAGATTCTGTATAGAGTTCTGGATTTTTTTACCATTTTCTAGCACTTCCAATAATTTTTATGAAAGAACAAATAACCCTGGAGGGTTTTCCCAATGATTTTTAAATTTTCTAGAAGATTCTGCACCGGTCTAGACCGCTCTATAAATCGACATTTAGACAGAAAATGCTATAAAATTTTAGAATATTTCGAAATATTCTCGAATAGCACCTAGACGTGTATTCATGATCGAAGAGTCGCGTAGGTAAGCTCTCAAATCAATCAAGAAGATTTTATAATTTTTTAAGGGATTTCAGAATGGTTTGGGATATGTTAGAAATGAATGATTAAAGTTTGGAAAAGTGGAGAGCTTTCTAGACTATTGCCGAATTCACGAGAAGATTCTGTATAGAGTTCTGGATTTTTTTTACCATTTTCTAGCACTTCCAATAATTTTTATGAAAGAACGAATAACCCTGGAGGGTTTTCCCAATGATTTTCAAATTTTCTAGAAGATTCTAGAAGATTTTCTAGAAGATAGAAATAATTTGTATACAAAATATCCGTATAGAAATATCCGAATATCATACACGAAAATCCTATAGAAATTCTATACGCAATCCGTATAAAAAATTTCTATACGATTTTTTCATACGTGTAAGGCTAACGTCCCCAACGCACTGATTATACATTGATTGTCTAATATACGATTATCTCGGCTTTTCTTCATATTATAGGTGGAGGCTATAGGGAAGGTTGGGGTAAAATGGACGCTTTTGACTTTTTTAAAAATATTAGTGACGGGTTGAAATGTTGATGAAATTTAATTTTTTTTTTCAATACAAAGAACAATTCTTTCCCTTTGTGATGAGCCTAAATTGAGCTCTATTATTACATTTGTTTCTGAGTTATGAATAATTTTTAAAAAGTCTGAATTGTTCATTTTACCCCACCCTCGCCTAAATATTGTTTTTCAGGATTTGTTATTATTATTCATTTTTTGAAAATTCATCTTTTGTCTGTTTACGTCCGACCCCAGACAGAAACAATAAGAGAAAAAAAAAGTTGAGCTCGGACTGATCTGTCATAAGGTTGTTTTTGTATAGAACGAGAATGATTGGAATTGATCGGGTTTAGTAGTAAATTTGTAATGAAGTTTTTTCTTTACTTATTTATTAATTTTTTATTTATATATGTTTTTTTTAGTGTTGAACTTGTTCTACATTGAATTTCTTCTGTATTGAACAGATTTTGTATTCAATTTCTTTGTGTTCAGGTCTCTGTGTGATAAACTGACGCGTTGAGATCAAATTACTATGTGGTAATTAGTGAGGTCACGGTGTTAAAAAAATGTGGGAACTACACTGAGAAGACAAGAGTCACTTGAGGAGTACGTCTTTACTTGTGTCAAAAAATTCATGGTTCAAAAATTACTAAGCAATATCTCACACTAAGAAGAAAAATCTTAACGGACGAAAAAATTTAATAGAAAAATCTATCGAATTCGTTAGAAAATTCTATGGAATTTCTATTAAACTTTCTATTAGATTTTGGCTGATTCTATTGACATGTTCAATAGAAAACATTCAACAGGAAATGTCAACAGAATTCGATTTTTCTGTATGACTTATTCCTTTCATATATTTTCTATAGAATTTGCTCGACTCAAATTTTCCAAGTTTTTTTCATTCTATTTTTCTTTTCTTCTCATCAAGAAAATCAAACGAAAAAACTTAAAATTTGAACCGAGGAAATTCCATAGAAAATATCTCAATAGAATAAGTTATATAGAAAAATTGAATTCTATTGACTTTTTTTACTGAATATTTTCAATTGAACATTGCAATAGAATCGGCCAAAAACTAATAGAACAATTGAACAGAAATTCAATAGAATATTCTAACGAATTCGATAGGTTTTTCTATTAAATTTTTTCTTTTGTGTTCGCCAAGAAATTTTATACTTGTCCGAAAGGTGAGGGCAATTGGTTCATAGAAAACGAGTTCTCAAATAAGTTCAATTGGTTTTTGCATTGGAATATTTTAGAACTGAAGCTAAGAAAATATTAAATGAATTAATTCAATTTTACTTGGTCTGAGGAATCACTTTCTTGTCATCAAGAAATTGTCATCGTCTTTAGGACAAGTACAAAATTTCTTGACGAAAGTTTTTTTTCTCAGTGCAAGATATTTTGCTCTTGAAAATTTTCAAGTCAGGAGTTTCTTGATATACGGGAGGGTGGGGTAAAACGGACACTTTAGACTTTTTTAAATTATTCATAACTCAGAAACAAAGGCTCGTCACAAATGAAAAGAATTGTTCTTTGTATTGAAAAAAAAATTATTAAACTTTATCAACATTTCAACCCCTAATTAACATTTTAAAACAGTCAACAGTGCCCGTTTTACCCCAACCTCCCTTAAGTAAAGACGTAGGGGAGAGTAAGGTAAAATGGACACTTTTGACTTTTTAAAAAAAATTCATAACTCAGAAACAGATTTATCAATTGAGCTCAGTCTAAGCTCATCACAAAGAGGAATCATTGTTTTTAAAATGAAAATTGAAATGATTCCATTTCATGAACAATTCAACACGTCATGAATATTTCAAAAAAAGTCAAAAGTATCCGTTTTACCCTACCCTCCCCTACTTCTCAATAAACTTTGTTTTCTCAGCGTAAATTGGGTGTTATAGGGGAGGGTGGGGCAATATGGACACTTCCGACTTTTTTTCAAATATTGATGACTTATTGAATAATTAACAAAAACGGATAATTTTTCCTTCTGTAAAAAGTACAATTCTTCCCCTTTGTGATGAGCTTCGACTGATTTCAATTGCTGAATTTGTTTCTGAGTTATGAACATTTAAAAAAAAGTCAAAAATGTCCATATTGCCCCACCCTCCCCTAGGTCATCCTCGGGAAAAATTCAAGTGTTTTGAATATTGCCCGCATTTTCTTCTCAGTGTCCCCTTCCGCCACCGCAAAATGATGGCGCACCCCTTCGAACGCCATTACAAGCCTCGAATTCGTCTAACCTCACTAATTGTTTATTGTCATTAATTAATCATTTCTTGCTAATCACCTAAATCCCATAAATGTTGAATCAGTGTTCAGTGTAACCAAGTGTAGCCAGTAATCATCGGGAACACACTCGTCATCCAGCAATGTCTGTGTTCTTCGTTAATGCGTGAGTAAAGCATCTTTCACTCGTCTTCTAGGTTATATTTTCCTCCAAAATATTATGATCACAAATCTCTCTGTTCATTCATATTTTTGAAACACCCAATGTATCGATAATCCCGTGGATTTGCCTCATTCAGTCCACGAAACATGAGGCATAATACTGGATAATTCGATAAATACAGGGGAATGTCGTTGAACTCGAGTGAGAATGTATAAACAAAATTTCAGGAATCAAGACAGTGAAGTGGAAGATCCGGTGGATTCAAATGGAGATCTCCAGATTGCATCCCCGGGGAGTTCTGAGGCACAACAGGCACTGCTCACATTCTGGCCGAAAATAACTGAAGAAATTAAGAAAATAGCGACAGTGAGCGCGGTATGAATCCGTTTAATTTCAATGATGATTGTTATTTTTTAGTGGAGGGGTCAATCAACTCAATTCTGTTCATTATTATTCTTAATTATTGCATTTATCGATGACATTCTTCTCAACTCAATTCTGTTCATTATTACTCTCAATTATTTCATTTATGGATGACACTTTTCTTTCTATGATTGTGATTCTATTTTATTGGATTAACAAAATTTGAAACAAGAGTAGAACCCTTTACTTTTTTTTAAGTTCATAATTCAACAGAGAATTTTTAAATTCAGTAGCGAAGTGGTAAAAGGAGATAAGTCAATTTTGACTATTGACCAGTTTTCAATGAATATCTCTGAATGTAAGGGAGATAGCGAAATTTTCGTAATCACATTGTTTAAAACACAGCAATAGTTTCCTATTTAATGGCACCGGGCTCAACGAAAATTCTCGAACGACCTCGGGACCCTTCGGGTTCACGGTCAGATCACGAAGTAAATCACCCATCGAGTTCAGTATCGTATCGTCTCAATCTCTGTACAGTCAGTAATGTCGCAATCGCTCTATCGAGTACATCACCCTGAGATAATGAGTTAACGCTCCTAGTAGGGTCTCTATTCGAATCAATCACCTATTAATTTTGAGTCAATTATCAATCATTTTAAGGCTATAATTCAGTGAATTATCAAGAGAATTATCAAGTGCAGTGTAGAGATAATTATCGAATTTAAATTGAGACAATTCAACGAACAGTGTACCCTTATAAAATTTCTAGACGCGTGGTTTACACTACAAATAAAGTACATCACCAGTCGGTTTTTAGTAAATCGCGTGTTCTTAATTTTCAGACCTCTTCCAAATCACTTTTCCCCAACCCGCCTAAATTTTTAACATCAATCTCAAACACTCATTGCTGTAGCGCTCAATCGGCTCCACAAAAAAGGTCAACAAAAATTTCGCTATCTCCTTTAGATTCCGAGATATTGATTGACAACTTAATTGGTCAATAGTCAAAATTGACTTCTCTCCTTTTACCACTTCGCTACTGAATTGTTCAAGTTCTGTTCAAGTTTTCATCCGATTGAGAATGTTTTTTTTTAATATTCGTTAAACTCGAAAGAACAAAGGTATGCGTTAGTTTTACGATCCATTAGACAGACCATGAAAAAATTTCAGACATTTTTGCTTCCGAATGGAATCAAAAATTTGTTTCAATCAGTTTTGTTTAATGGTTCAAATTTAAGTTTTAGATTTTTTGTGTTATATCAACCCATTATGATCCAAAACGTCCAAAAATGCAATTTTTATACCGTGTCGGTACGTCTGTTGTGTATGTATGTGGTAAAGTTTTCCTTCAAATCTTCGCTAATGAATCCATGGAATTAAATCATTCCTTTTCCTCAAATGTAGGTATTGTTGAGCCCTATCTATCGACATTAATTAAAATTTAATTCATCAATTAGTTTTTTAATTTTCGAATTTTTTTTGAAAATCGGTTGTTCCACGATAATTGAAAAAAATGTTCTGAATTGATTGGATGATGGCTTAAAAATTTTGTTTGGGTGTCCCTTTGACCGACTGCAAAGATGATGCGATACCAATAATCGTTATTTCGATTTATTTGAAAATTTACAAAAATTTTGTATTTTTCGAAAATTACAATTTCGGGGATATCTTTGAATATCATGCTTCAAATGAATTCAATCATAGCTTAAAATGTTTGTTTCAATGCCATTAAGTCAAAATTAAAAGATGATTACGATAGCTATATTGATTGATTTAATTTTTATAATGATTGTTGAAAATTTCAAATTTTTCATGAATTTCCTAAAAAGTACGTATGAACAAAATTTTTCTACTAATATTTTATTGAAGGGTTGAGGGGAGAAATAGAACTGTAAAAAAGACTTATTCAAATCTTATTCAATTTCATAAAATGAAATAAACAATGAATTATACACGATAGAAGGAAATTATATGCAAAATAACCATTCGGAAGCATATTGCTAATTAATTAGCAAAAATACCCATTCTATGTACAATACAAGAGCAATGTCCCACTTGTTTTGCTTAATTTTCTTGATGAGAAGAAAAGAAAAATGAATGAACTTTTAGGATTGCGTTTTCTCCTGAAATTATAATTTTTTTTTCATGAAAATACTTGATTGACTCAACACTGCAACTATCGAGTCGATAAAGTAGTTTCAAAAATAAAAATAAATAATCGTAGGAAAAACACAATTCTACAATTTGATATAGACAAAGGGGGGGTCCTCTCCCCCTGAAGACCGTGATAAAAATTTTCCATTCGATTCTCTGCATTCTCAAATTTCACCATCACATCCTCACCATTGAAATCCGCTCTAGATGGACTTGAAGACACAATCCCTCCCCCTCGCAAGGATAAAAAAGATCATGAAGCTGGACGGTGACGTGAAGATGATAAGCGCCGAGGCCCCCATGTTATTCTCAAAAGCAGCTGAAATATTCATTCACGAGTTGACCCTGAGGGCGTGGGTGCACACCGAGGACAACAAACGACGAACACTCCAGCGCAATGACATTGCAATGGCAATAACAAAGTACGACCAATTCGATTTTCTCATCGACATTGTTCCCAGAGACGAATTGAAACAGAGTAAAGCCCAGTCTGACGGTGTTCGCACAGTGATGAATTCAGATCAGGTGCATTATTACTTCCAATTGGCGCAGCAACAAGCCTCCGCCAATCAGAGTGTCCAGAATAATGGTGCAGCACAGCCGATACAAATTGTTCAGCCCAATGCTGGACAGATACAGACGATAAACATTGGCAGTCCAGTTGACCAGGAATCGACGAACACGAGCACAGCTCAAACAGTCACGGTGCAGAGTCCTCAGCAGGGAGGTGGACAGCAAGTTATACAGCTTCAGCAGGCACAACAGACATCACCGCAATCTGGGGGGATTCAGATTGTACAGCAGATTGTTACGCCTAATGGGGATATCCAGCAAATACCTGTTAGTATTCAATTTTTTAAATCCCTTAAGGCCCGGGTGTACTATATTTCGAACGTTATTTCGATGTTTTTTTTCGTCTTTCGTCGTCTGAAATTGTCAATTGAGTCCTGCATCATGCAGAAGTTTTGAAAAATTATGAATGAATAATAAAAAAAAAGTAAAAGAAATTCTTAATTTTTTCAAAGAGCATTTTTAATTTATATTCAGAATAAGTTGAATAACAAGAAATTGAAAAGTGTATCTGATTTACGGTGACGAATGGCGGCCTGTCACCCAATATCATGCAGGGGGAAGACTGATTTCGTAAATCTTTTCCCACACTGCACAGAGACATTTATTACGGAAAAGGCTCTTTGAAAAAAGTTGTAATATTTTGGAGAATTTTTTAATCACACTTTTATCACATAAAAATGGCAGATGACTACATACCACTGTTTTGAAAATTGAGATACCTAGCTGTCACTTCCCATGAGGAGTTGGTGTTTTGTTATTCACCATGGAAAATGACAGCTAATAGATGATTTGCCACAGCGAATCAGATATTTATAATTTCCACTTTTTCCAACTCACTCTGAATCTCAATTAAAAACGCTCTTTGAAAAAGTTCAGAATTTTTTCTATTTTTTTTTATCATTCTGTCATAATTTTTGAGAATTTCTACATGATGTACCACTCAATTGACAATTTTGGATTACGAAAGATAAACAAAATCCAGATAACATTCGAAAGATAGTACACCCGGGCCGTAATTTTGGGAACTTATGTGGGGTGTATGGAACCAGCAATATCCAAATTTATAATACTAGGAAAGACGTGGGCTAGTTGGGTTGCGTGGAGTAATGCATTCATTCAATAATATTTACAGAATTACAACTCGATGGCATTTCATTCTTTTTTTCTATTTTTAAAATAAAAAATAACATTTTTCATGACCTAATCAAATGTTAAATCATCTCAATAACAAGCCATTTTACGAGGAAATGTCATAAAACATTCTAAAGAAATCTAAAATCTAAATTCTAAACAAAAACCTTGAAAACATCATCTTTACTTTACTTGCCCTCTATGAATTTCTCGAGTCACACCACAATCCAATTGTTTCAGATTCAATTAACCCCCCAACAACTACAGATGATTAGAATGCAAGTGCAAGGTGGCAGTAATCAACCGATAATCATCCAAGCAGCGCCCATACAAGCCCAGCCACAGATAATCCAAGTGGCGCAGAGTGGCCAGACCCCCGTGTACCTTCAAACGGGTGGGAATGATAACGAATAACCCCTCCCCTTGGAAAAAACCCGGCTTTACCTCTAGATTAAATGTATAAACATTTTTAATTAATTAATATAAATAGATGTTAATCGTTATTGTAAGGTTTACTTAAATGAATGAATGAAGATATCATTTTTTCTAAGCAATTGTCGAGCATTTTATTTTTCTTCTAGGGGGTTTCCCTCCACTCGCCAAATCCCCACAGCTGGTGGGGTGCGACTGGTTTTCAAAAAATGGCTCTAGCCACCTACATAGTATTTTTGAGCCTCATTCAGGCTCTCATTTCTGACCTTTGATTATGGCTCATTTCGCCAAATATCGTACGAGACCGAGCCTCAAAATTTTCGACAATTTTTTTCTGTTGTTCTTGATACTTCTGTATAGAAAAGATTTATTTATCGGCTAGCAGAAATTCCGCGGATTAGTTAGAGGCGCTCCGCGTGATTGAACGTTTTAGACTCGAAATTCTGCGCTTTTATTTAACGTGTTGAGATATGTTTAAAAAAAAATTCAAAACAGTCTTTGATCGGAAATTTTCTGAATTTTTCAAAAATGGTGGTCATTTTATAACTCCACTTCAACTTCAAGGTGGAAATCTAAAAATGAAACTTCACACGTTGATTTCAGCCTGTTCCCACTTGTGTCCCTAATCTGCTATTTTTTCGGAAAATTCAGAAAATTATCGATCGAAATCATCTTTGAAAAATGTCCGCTCATATGCCGCAGAGTCGAAAGAGAAATGAAAAACAAAAAATTAATCTTTCGAAAACTGATTTCTCACGGTCTTTGCATATTATGATGTTAATAAGGAATAAGAAAGTACATTCCGTCAATAAAAATAACTATATAATGAATGAAAATTGAAATTACAAGATTAAACCATGTGAAATCGATTTTCGTAGTATCAACTTTTCGTTTTTCATTTGAGAAAAGTGGGGAGCTGGCTCAAATCAACGTTTCAATTTTTATTTTTCGATTTTCACCATAAATTTGAAGTGAGGGATAAAATGACCACCATTTTTGAAAAATTGAGAAAATTTCCGATCAAAACCTATGTTTTGAATTCTGTTTTTCAGCATTTTTTAACACATTAAATAAGAGCGAAGAATTTCGAGTCTAAAGCGCTCAATCACGCGGAGCCCCTTCAAGGATAATCGGGTGATGAGGAAATGTACGAGATGAGGCGGAGGGGTTTCTATTGTTTTCCTGCAAAAACCAATCGCTGAACAAAAAAATTTTTCCCATTCGGATTCAAAATTCAAGCAATATTAGGGAGCATCTCCGGTCAAAAATTATTTTTGGAGCTAATCAAATTTATTTGTATCTGTTCCACGCATTGAATGGTTTTCAGATTGTTTTTTTTTTTAAATGAAAAAATATTAATCCATATGAAAAAGTGGCAACATCGTCGGTAGTTTTTTTTTCACCAGGAGCTGGTACCACCGGCTCGAGGGAGCTCCAATCACAATGCTTCATCGCTCTCTCTCAAGAGACGTTTAAATTGACCGCGCTACCCCCAACCCGATCGGTACTTGGAACGTTGCTGCTCGTTTGGGCTGCGTACGCAGAAATGTCATTTTTCAGTACTTTTTTCGCTATTATTAATAAACAATGCTCCTAGGCGACAATATTTTTCACTTAAAACATCATTGATCATATGTTCTAAATGTGTCTAAAGTTTCATGACTTTGGCTCCATTTTTTCCTTGGGTTTTGCAGTTTTTTTTGTGATTTCCATAAGATCACGGGTTAGATGACCACTTTTTCAAAAATTCATAATAAATGAACCATGCTCCCCAGCAGTTTGAAACTTTGCACATGCCTTTTCCATAATTTAAAGAATACATGAGAAAAAAATGGCTGCTTTTATTCTAACCCTCCGGGCTCGCCCGATTATCCTTAATTAACCGCCTGATCTCTGTTAGGCGAGAAATTCTTTTTTTTAATATATAAGTATTGAGTTTTTGAGACTAATCTTTTGATCATGACGTCACAAAATCGAAGTCACAGCTGTTCATTCGTGAAATATGAAGAGTGGGAGAACTCGTAGCTCTTCATTGGCCACAACGTGCGCTCAGATTAGGTTGGGATTACCTGGATACGTTCAGTGATTGGTCTCGTCGTCAACAGACCTTGTGACGTATTTAGAAAGGCCCGACCATACGAAATAGGTAAGTATTGAAAATCAATCATGAATTACTGAACAATTTTTTTAATGTTCTTGAACAGAAAATGTTTTTATTGGAGATATGACCTCGGAGAAGAGAAAAAAGAGTTGGCAAAGTTCCTTTTTTAACCCTTCAGAACTCGCGCTCAGCCACCGACCTTCGTTACTCGCGTGGTGAGCGCTGCGCCGCCCGTGCTTTCAGTAACGCAGCGTTGTCACGTTCATAGGTACGCGCCGAGCGTGCGGCGAGCGGGAAACAACAACAGCGGAATTGAAAATTTTACATCCTTCGTTACTCGCGCTGGGCGGCACGGCGCCGCTTTTGCGTATGAGCCTCAACAATTTATTATTTTTCGTAGCCTTGATGGATTTTCAGCGGATAAGAACCTTGCTAATCCATTCTAAATGATTCAAGCTAGGCATTCTAATTTTTTCAATTTTTTGAAAGCTCAATTTTGCAAGAGGCAAGCGAAAATTTGAAAAAGGCGGCGCGGCGCTTATAGCGCGAGTTCTGAAGGGTTAATCGGATTCAAGATTCCAGATCGATTTAGTCAACCTCAAGATTCTGACATGACCGAAAATAAAAAATAAAAATATGAAGTGTCATCGAAGCGGAATAAACCCAACTGATGTCCACTCGGGTAAAGAACGAAGATAAGACGGGTGGAGAGTGGGTGGGGAATGTAATCTGATTCGTGAGTCGCTTTTAGCTCTACCTTGAGTCCGCCTTCGTACGTTAAAACTGGGCCCCCATGATTGCACGCCTGAGCGAATCTCTACCGTGTGGGTCCCCCGAATAGCCACACAACACCGGGGACTTGTGGCAGTGCGGCTTGGATTATGTTTCACGATGCTGCGGTTGTCTGTTCACCGTCACCAAGAACAAAAAACCTATTTCTTCGCTGTTTTATATTATATTTTAGAATATTAAAATTTCCATAAAGCTTCAATTACAGAAGAATTACGGGGAAATTTACTCCGGGAAAAAAAAATTCTTCGTTTTTCAAGAAAAAAATTTTTCAAAGTGCTTTTTAGCACTTCCTGCCTCTATTTTATTTCACTGAGAAAAAAATTAACTCTGAAGAAAAATTATATGTTCCATCTGATATTAATATTTCATGGAGTGGAGAACAGATTTACTTGAGGGAAATTAATCAACTTGGTAGTAGGAAATTTAATGTCTTTCACGAAATTTAAATTTTTGACGTGATCATCAGAAATATCTCTAGAAGAATTCAAACTGCTGGCAGGAAAAAATATAATCTATTGTACGACAATCATTTGATCTGAGAGAACTATAGATTTATACCATAGAAAGAATAGGGTAACCAGAGCAATTGGTAGACACCGACCAACAGACAGACGATTTCAACTTTTTTTTTAGTATTCTATAAACAATATAATAGAAATTGTCTTACAAATTTCCATTTTTGATAATAAAGCTAATTTCTAATAATACGATGATTTTCTCATTTTTTATTGATGAGCATTTTGAACGTAAAAAAATAAATTCTCGTGAGGTACAGTATTGGCCCTCAGTGGCGGTGTGAGTAGTTAGCGAATAGTCACGCAATGTTGACGGAACAATGTGAAAAAACAGTCATTAGGACAAATACACACGGTATCTGTTCGATTATTATTATCGAAAAGGATCATTCTTTATTTTTAAACATGCAGAAGGATGAATTTGTTTTAATAACCATTAAATATGACCGTCTATCTATTGGTCAGTCGTCTATCTATTGAATGTTTGGGCTGTATCCCGCTTTTTCGTCATTTTATCATTTACTCCTTCATTGTTTCCACTTCGAATCATTATTTTCCCATAATTCATATATTTTTTTAGGTATAAAACCTATCGTTGGTGTATTTAGGTGATTTATCAATTTTTGATCTCTTGACGGACCTCGAATTGTCCTTAAGCGTCTATCTATTAGTCTGGTTACCCTACATTGACAAAGAAATAATATTCTTTCAAAAAAAAAATTATCCTCTCGAAATTATTTAGGATCGCCAATAACGCACTTTTCTACGAGAAAATTGGAGTTCCCTCTTGAAATTATCATTTTCGTGAAAAGGCCCGGTAAACCGCGATTCTGACGGGCCTTCTGACGAAAAATTGCATTCATCGCACGGTCCAAAAGTATTTTCTGACGAATGTGATTATAGTCTTGACTTTCCGCCTTGGGAGCAACTTTCCACCCTAGGACAGAAAGTACTCACTTTCCTCCCGCTCATCAGGGAGGAAAGTCTGAACTTTCCGTGCAGGGATCTGAAAATGGTAAATTGTCCACCAAGGGCGGAAAGTCATGTTTTGCCCACCCGAAAAGTTTGTATTTTGTTTTGTGATGAGCGGGAGGGAAGCGAATACTGTTCGTTCAAGGGTGGAAAAACTATTTCTGTTCCGGCGGGAGCAAAATGACATTTCTGTACTGCTTCTCACGATTTCTCCTCTGGGAATTGGTATTGGATACTTCCCAAACTGGAAAACTTGAAAATCACTACAAAAAAATCTTGTCCCGGGCTGATGCGATGGGACATCGCAGTCCAGTTCTCGCCTTCGGCTCGGACGCCAACGCCACACGAGTAAAAAACCCCATCGCAGCAGCCCGGAAAAATACTATTTCTCTCCCGCTTCGCGGGAGGGAAATCTGGCTTTGCTCCTACGCCGGAACAGAAAAATCGCGTTCTAACCACGGAAGGTAAAATAAAAGACCCTTGCCCACGTGCAGAATTATCAGCCGAGCCGAAGGCGAGGTTGATAAGCACGTGGGCAAGGGTCCTTTATTCTACTTCCCTAGGTTAGAAATATACTATTATTATATTTTACTAAAAAGAATTATTATTATTTCAAATAATTGATTTTTCAGTTTTATAATTAATATTGATATTTTATTATTATTACTAGTATTATTATTATTCGTATTAATATTTGCCTAACCTATCATTTCATCAGTGGTGTTATTATAATTTAAT